TTTTTAACTAACCGGATCTTCTAGTTGGTTTAATTTATTTTTGATGAGATTCATTGGTTTATATGTTGTTCGAATACCTGTTCTTCTGCGGTTTATTTGAAATGACTCAGATGTCCCCTTCCTATATGATAGTATTACTACGTATCTTATTTACCGGACTCTATATTGGCTCTCTTTTTACACTGAGTGGTAATCCACAAATCTTTTTGAGTGAGTAGGTCTTCTATAGGTCGCAGTCTTTACGCTCCCATCTATTACTCTGCATTTTACAGACTAACTTTAGTACTCCCTCCAATTCATACTGTCTCTATGGTGAATTTAATTGAGTCTATTTAACTGTTTAGATGTGCATGAAGACTGCTAATATCTTTTTTGTCTGTTATGACTGATGTGTCGTCTACTTATCTCCACCAACTTTTGGTTGAGGATATAAATGATGTTAGGACTTTTTCTTCCCAAACATCAAGCAATATTATTGGTGAGATGGGTGACTCCATAGCTATTAAACCAATTTCTTGGCACAACTTTGCCTTCATATGTGAAACGTGTTGCTGCTTAACAGTATTCTACTCTTTTTAGCATATCGTTTACAGATAACTGGGTTCTTTCTTTTAGAAAATACTCTGTTCTAATTTTGCCGTTATCGGTATTTTCGTATATAAGCTGTTAATATCGAAAATAACCAGTGCACCTTCTTCACTAATTTCACTGTACTTAAGTCTTTCCACTAGCTTGAACAAGTCTACTAGTCTGGCTTCTGAAGTGTTTCGCATTAGTCACGGGCAGTAATTTTGTTCAAAATATTACCAAAACTAAACAATATCATTGCGTAAATATTCATTATGCAGCAGTACCAGAAATTATTAAGAATTCAGAGAATACTCACCTAATGCTGGTAAGACAATGGTTGCTAAGTCCATGAAAACGTCACTGTTAATTCCTTTCGTACCTTGTTCTCGTTTACCTTAAGTAACGTTAACCTTGTATCCCTTTTTATCTTCAGTTTTATACTACTTAGTATTATAAGTAGCATACGTCATGTTTTTTTTATTGTAACTTCATTGACGATTTGACTGCCCATCTAATCAATCGTATCTTGTTTATAATTTAACATTCCTAGGTATTAGTACCTTTCCCGGTTTATGATATTGTTGGGATGCTTTCCGTTGTTTCCTGATATTCTATTTTACCGTGATTATTTGTTTATCTCGTGTCTTTACCTTTTCATAGGAACGTACGCTTGTCTTTTATTTCCATTTCCGCTTTGCCTTGGATCGTAAGTCATCGTACTCTCTGTAAGGTAGTGAATCCACAGATACCTCACCAACTAAGGCTTCTAAACGATTGAACATTATTTTTATTAATACAGAACCGCATTTCAGACAAATCCTGCGTTGTTTCGAGTTTTTCGCGCAACTAAAGCGGTTGGTTAATGGTTGAAGAATTGCTTGTTCGTTTAGGGTCCAAATTTCTTGGGAAAAAATATAAAGTCACAATATCCAATTTTAGTCAAACTATACAATGTGATGATACTTCACTAAGTTTTTCACATAGTTCAATGGTTTTGCGTTACAACTGTGTTCATTTGCTGTTTAAGTGAGACTGAAGAATAAATGAAGTACCCTGGACGGTAGATGTGCAAAGTAAATCTGTCATTATAACGAGATGATAAGTCCATCACATTCTGAAGTGTCATTTAATAAAATCTCAATTTTCAAAAATAAAGTGGTAACAAAAATAACTCCACTAGAGGAAGGAAGTATAGTCTTTGACACTAGTTGTACATGTGTAGTGAATGGAGAACAAATGAGAAAGATCAGATATGAAAAATTCAGCTCAGATGAAAGCATGTGACAAACTGTGAATCACTTCTATCAGTAAACTAGTTTTTTTACTTGTGAAGTCACTGGATGGAATAGAAAGAAATACACGGACATATTTGACGCAATGAGACACTTAGACTGGATACGAAAAGTGATTCTTCTCCCTCAATACCTTACACCTCACTGAGCCATGAAAATACCAGAAAGTAAGGACTGGTCTGTGACTGTAACGAAGACCCTTAATTCGACAAATATACAACATATACGTACAGTTTTTATGATTATCTAAAATCACTAAGTTCAAAAAATTATTTTGGTTACTCACCTGTAGGATAAAGGTTTTTAATAAGGGTTTTACTGACCACACAATGACGCTGAACAAAAATTCAAATCTAAAACTCCTATCCTAACGGCTGGTGATTTCCAGTTTAGGCCACTTCTTATCAATTTGCCTTAAACAGTTTTGAATAAATCTTACTGACAAAACTGTTTAAAAGCAAGTAAGCTTTTAATATAAAGCCACTGCTATGGGATTAATGTTGTTTCGAAGTCAGCACGGCGAAGTACCAATAACGTTTGGTTTACACCAAAATCATCAATAAGGATGGGTCTACGAACAAATACCTAGAGAGTGGCTAGATCAAGTAGTAATATGGAAAACCTGCCGATGGAGACAGTTAAAAGCGTTTAACAAGTAACACAAAATCTACAGTGGATAGAAGAGAAGGCAACACAGTTAGTAAATAAGCTTGAGAAACCAGTTCACTGAATCTGTAATAGGTTAGGTGAGGATAAAAGGGACATTAATGTTAATTTACTAAGTTGCAAAATAATGGTAATGTTGCAGTACTACTGACTAACAGTAAGTAGTATGAAAAGTTAAACATAAAAGATGTGCAGGTACTCCACGCGCATTAACATGAAAATGGATTTGGCAAAAATACGTAGATGAATTTCTGAAAATTGCTCAACCAGATGCTTTCAAAACATACTTCAATTTACAGTCCAAATAGACTGAGAACAATAAGTAATTCGAGAAAAAGTAATATGAAGTTGAAATATACATGTTTCAGAATAATCATTATGATATTTTATTTGGTTGTGGCTAGCAAAGAGATTCAGGGCGTGTATCGTCCCACTTGGATATCGGCAGCTGCATGCACCTCTTTAAGAGCAGCACTAGTGTTCTCATCTTCGGGTTGCCCTAGGACCATCCTTGCAGTTCCAGTTTTTCTACGACACATGGGTACCCAAAAAGAAATGTGATCCACAAGGAGTAGCAATCTTCCCTAGAGCCTTTTTCAGAGGTAACCGATAGAAATATGGTCTTTCTTTGTACACCGTTCAGTACAGGTCAATAGATGTTATGTCAGGCAATTTCTATCTTCCTACACCTGAATTTCATGCTGACCGAGAATAGGTGATTGACTGAGCACAATCATAGCAGGCGATCGTCATTATCCTTTCATTCGGTTAGGATTTCCGAAGTGTCCTTCTGTCCAACACAGTATACCTACTTGTGCATTAAAATGGCTCGTTAAGATACCCACATCTGAACATTCAGATTTCATTGCGAGACTAGACAACTTTCGGTAAATCTTATTATTCATATCATCTAAAATATAATTATTAGGTGCGTAATCAGTGATTACATACAGATAACGGTGAATTTTACAATTCTTTTTAGCCCGAACTGCGTCATTCAGTCAAACAGCCCACAGAAAAGTGTCAATTGAAATCCGACTGAACAGTGCAATTTCTACCCTGAGAATTATTACTATACATACCCCCGAAACACTATGAAAAATAACCAACGAATTCGAAGAAACTCAAAAAGTGAATTTCACACATTCCCATATTACACACGACACGTTATTTCAGTCAACACATTGCAGCTTCTATGATTGACTCAAAAACAAAGCACATCTCTATGGCTTCAGATGCCATAGTTTATGTTAATGAAGCTTGTTGCTTAACTTTATGCAGTGTAAGAAGACTGAAAGCTTCGATATTCAATTCGAAACGCAATTTCAGGAGACCGGTGATGATATTACTGTATGAAATCGAGTCATCAACTTGATCCACTCACCTAGAAGCAATCAAATATGAAGATATGAATAAAGATTAGGAGGTGAAGATGTGGATGACTGGTAATAATCAAAGAGGACTTAAACACTGACACATGTGAAGATGGACATACCATGGAAGGTTACTTCTTCTATGAGTACCTGGAAAACAAATTGCATAAGTGATATTCGTGTGTAAGCCTAACGTATATCTGCTTCACACCGGTCACCTACAGCCTTTACGGAAACATTGAGATTTGATTGCAGTGCATTCTGACTAGAAAAGTCTATATCACTGGCACCACAATACTACAGAATATAAAGGAATGGTCCGTTTTTAGGTCTGATCGTTCTCAACACCTCCTTCCAATAATAATAAAAAGCAGCATCCCTTCGGAACGCTAATTATCCACGGGAAACACATCATTACTGACACATCTTATACAGTCAGCAGTATGACTTCGCCATCACACCTCCACCATAATGTCAGTTATTTACACTGTAACAACAACAACTGATTTCTGTTTTACCACTATCGAACAGACTTTCTGTCATGTTAGGACCTCAAAGAACAATCAGCTAAACCAACATAGCTGATATTAGGTGACTGAAACATACAAATCAGACCAACACAACAAGGTGGCACCTACAGTATACCTACGGTATTCGTCCCTACTCTGTTACAATCTTTACATTCAAAGTTATGAGACCTTAATGACGAACAAGCCTATAATTTAACTCTTACAATAATTTACCCAATCAATAGGGTTCCAGATAACTGAAATTCAAACCTACTGTATACAACACTACGTTAAGTTCTCAAATTCAAGTGAAACATTTCTACTCTCATAGAAAATCTTTAATCGAGTAGAAAGTAAACATTTTCAAATCGCTGATTACGTTAATTAAGTTAGATAAATTAATTATTCATGATATGTGAAGTTAGCCTGTTAGATGAAAACTTGGATACAAAGATCACTTTGTACGCTAAATGTTATATGTTAAGTAAAACACAATCCATTTTGTTGTATATATAAACCTCAGTGCATATGTTTATCAAAATTTGGTCTAATTAAATATCATCTGATGATTGGAATTCATGAAAGTCTTTTCATTCAGTCTGTAATGAAAAAACACGAAAATGTTATATCCTCAGTTGTTTTTGTGTACATTTATATATATATATAAATATATATAAATATCTGCCTATCTTATCCAGTAAATAAAAGTGAGTATCATTAAACTGATATACTTTATTTAATCCCATTTTAGCTGATTTATTAAATGTATCAAACAGTCAAGCTACAGTATTATTTATTTTATTACGTTTCGAACACAACTTGTGGCAGCACACACTTCCCCAGAATCAATAGCCTAGGGTTCGACGAGATACAACATTGATGCTGGCCTTCATAGTTTTATCGGGTTCGCTAAGCTGAAGATATATAGTCAAGCACGAACGCAACTTGGTACGCTGTTGTATTACGTTTCACTGCTGGTAATCAATCCTCTAGCCAGTTAGTTGGAAAGCATCGACATTTTATTAAGATCTCTCAAGTATACTGTTCCATCTCACTACGGTATTGTGTTCTTCCTTGGTTCCGTATTCGTGGGTATATTACAAGTACGAATAATCAGTGATTGGCCTTGGCGTCTGTCAAGTCCGCACAAGGACAATTCCTAAAAATTTACTGTCCATAGTCGTATCAAGATAGCTCCATATCTTTGAAACATAGTTCATATAATTCTAATTTTCTCGCCTTCTTTGCGATATGCGTAGTAGGATTTTCCATATATTCGGAACAGGTGCTGAGTCATATCTGTTGTATGCATTAGGTGTTGATTTCATAAACAAGGATTCGGTTACTGATCCCCCTCTCCACCCTGGTAGGTTAGTTTCTAAGGTTTTTCACTCTGTCCCATCTTATTGTGTGGTTGTGTGTAACTGTATGCATGGCTATAGCCGTGTTTTTATCTAAATTCCATATCTTATTAGGATCTCCCAGTTTTGACCTAGCGAGGTTTTTGTACTCGGATAGCCTAATTGACCCTGATCGACTACTTTGCCTATGCATTTTGCTTCGCAAATGCTGCAACTGATTTGGTAGACTAAATTATTCTGCTTAATTGGATCAATAGGATCTTTTAATCGACAAACTTATTTCTCAGTGAGTTTAAGTGCTACTTTAATCCTAGCCTTATTGACAACCCTAGGTAATGTCTCTGAGGTGCCTTCTTCGTATGATAGGTAGAGGTTTTGAACTCAGCTTTAAAGTATTGCCAGTACTATTATCAGCATTACTGTAACTAACATTAAAACCCGTATTACAGATACCAGTCATATTTTTCTTACGATTATTAATAAGTTTACGAGGACAGTTGTTGACGAGTATTTCAGTCCCAAGGAAGCATTCATCACAGACTGATATCAGTTGGAGAACGACTGAAAAACCTAGAATACTGGAAAACCTTTTAGACCAAGTATGTGACTTCTCAGTAGTGTGCACTCACGACCAAGCCAGGAAGCGAACGTGAGACCTCAGGGTTTTGCAGTGAGATTATTAGCATTCAGCTACTGGATTGAAATCCAGTGCTCCCCAAGTTCTAACATCTATCCACACGAAATACATTACGATATAGTTCTTGCGCACTGCTGAAGAGTTCCATACTACGACGAAACGGCTGTCCAGCGCCTCCAGGTTCCCAATGCTTCTGTTAGTACGTGATGAATATCGCCTCAAAATCGATATATTCCCACAAACCTTTCAACTGACATAACCCTAAACTATGAGGTATTGTCCAAGTTTATTAAAATTTGGGCGACAATAGTACAGAATCTAATATAAATAAACAGTTGAATCGGTATCCTTGACCATTATGACTATTAATAGACTATAGAAAAATGATGGAGACGTTTTTAAATTTTCTTTCAATATTAACATTTTGCTCAATCTATTTCAGCACGCGCAAGCGTGCACTGCATAGTATATACAGTTAACAATTCCCTACACAAACGGTTTCGTAGTTCATCGGTCACACTATTTTTAGTTAATATTACCATCATCCTATCTGATTGTTGAGATCGAATTAGGAGGAGTAGGAGATCGGACTTGAGATGCGACGCTCACTTGTGGATGGATACTAACAAAGCTACAGATCTTTTGGGAACCAAGAAAGGAAAAGCGGCATTCAAATTCATGATGCTATTGTTGTTCAAGGCTAAAAGGCCAAAGACAACTAAACCATATATTCCCGAAAAAACTTAAACCTCTTCAAATAACAAATATCAATTAAGCAGTGTGAACAATAATCATAGTCAGAATAATTCAAGTTATTAGGGTAGTATAGACTGATTCGAAGAAAATTATCAATACATATGTACATTTTAAGCATAAAAGCTACTACATAATTACATAATATTAAAAAGGGTTTATCGAAAGGAAAAGATGGAATTAATACATTTACCAGAACTTTACATAGTATTATAATATTATCAAATGATAATATGCTAAATGCCAAACTATGTCACTTTTTCACTTGTAAATCCCTAACAGTGTAGAGTGATTTGCAAGAATGATATAAAGCAGCTTCATAGTATGCATATAACATGGTTTATTATAGTCTAACATCTTTAAATATACGCCTCATAGTAACACTCACTCCAGAACGACTCTGACCAGTAGCAGTAAGATGGCTTATACTGAAACGGTAAGGTGATATATCAGACATAGAGAAGTCTATAATATGCTCTGTTTCCGCTTGTGAACTACCTAATGATGGAGTATATACTGAAGGAGAGTTGAAATGTTCAAGGATGGTACACAGTTCATCTCTTAACTGACTACTAAGTTGACGACGATGAGCTTCTTTCTCTAGAATGAAAAAATAACAGAGATATTACAAAGTTTTGAATAAGGAAAGATAAATTAACAAACTAGACAAAATTATGACCAGAAATAAATGGTCTACATGAACTGACCATAAATACAATGTAATGATAACTCTTCTCGACTCGAATAACAGTGACGTTATGCAACATAATAAATACCCCAGAGATAAGGCAATAGTTAGTGTACGAAACTACCTATATTTCTTGAAAAATATCCTTACGAAAATCAAAACACAGTAAGACATTGAAAAGTTTATGGACTGCAGACAATGTATATATACCAGATATGAAGATAATGACTATACAAAGTAAAAAGATGAACACTTTACAGAAGATCGTAAACAGTACCAACTGAAACTTTGTAATTTTTTTTATACCCATATAGATTGGAGTGATTATGATCAATCAGATATGCAACAAGTAGACAGAATTGAAATTGTACTCTTAGACCTTCTTTTTATACATCATAGAGTTATCAATTACATTGGATGGTGTTTATATACTTAAGATACTGTAATCCAGTAATGAAGTGACTTTGGAAGAATTTTGTCATTCTGCTGTTCAAACTGTAATCACACTTGAAGCATTAGTAGAGTTTACAAATCGATATATTTCAGTCGCGATGCTTCATATCGCTGGTTAATACGCTTCTGTTTGTAAAAATTAGGAAATCACTTATAAAAGCAAATGATTCCATATGTAAATAATACAGTTCAGCTAGATTGAAAAGCTAATGAATGACCAGTTCTAATGCAAGGCTTATTCATAGTTTCACAATAAAGTAGCGTTAATAAGCTAGAAATCATTATATGACACTAATAACTGATCACTAAGTGTGTAACAATGATATAAACAGAGAGATTCCCGTCAGCACAGGATCTGAATTAACTGAATATTTCCACACTTAACATCCGTATATCAAGTTCGAATTCATGAAAGAAAAAAACGAGGTGAAGACAACACGAAAGAAATAAACAATATCTCGACATAGCAGTATTGTCTCCGCTGATGCTCATCTACTAGGTTCTAAAAATTTTATCAAGGTAATCGTCATCTGAAATTTAAAACAGCTTGGTAAAAGTGTTTCTGTGTAGTTGCTTCTGCGATGCCAAGTGGTCGAAAAATGTAACCCAGTGAAGATTTTAGCGGGAAAACTCGAAGTAAATCAGGAAAAACATGCGGTATTTCGTGGAGAAACGAGGGTAGAACACTGGAATGAAAAAACTCAGGGAAAAGTAACAAAATCACGCATTTACCCCGAGTTCTCATTGCAATTAGTAACGTGCTCTCCGTAAATATTCATTGGGCAGCGAATATACGTAATATATCAAGCGCGATGTGTGAATTACATAATGAATTTTGCATTATAGTTCTTATCGCATTTTTATTGATGATATCAACTTGTAGGGGGTGGGATTGATACGACATCACACCACACTTCTTAATAAGTAACAACTGATACCCGTTGTACTAGAGGTGACTTTTGTACCTCAGTGGCCTGGTTGATGATTTTTTGGCATTTAAAACAATGGGCACCGGGTTAGAGTCCTAGTGGGAACACCACAACTTACTGAGGTGTTGGTACACACCCGGCTGATGAGTCACAAATAGGACGAAACGCGCGTCCAACAATCCACTCCTAACCACCAACAAGCAGACTACAGCCTAACGAACAGTCATGTAATATAGAAACAATCGAATACACGCCCATCTTTCAACAGAGATAGAACAATTCGACCCAGTACAGCAACAGAAGATTAAAAATACCAGTAAGTAATCTGATTTCAAAGTTGTTCATTCCTACTGGATTTCTAGAGAGTCAGTGAAACTATCGAATTTCAACTTAGCCTAGATATCTAAAAATAGTCTGATGCATCGTTTGTATGCCTTCTAGGCAGGACATCTGACTAATCAAGCAAGTTATCAAAGTACAGTCAATTCTCAGAGTTTAAGGCAATAAAACAAAAGTTGCTGGGATGGGGGGTGGAAGGAGGCGGGTAGTGAAACTTTAAAAATCCCAAGTTATTTCAAGTAATGAAGAGTAGGAATTGTAGTAAAATCCAACTGAGATACAACGTTTTTGTTAACGAAATGTAAAAATCGTCAGAAAAACAAGGATAACTGGTTGGTGTTCACATTACTGGGACGCAAACTGTGCAACAGTTTACATAAACTACCGTTTTGCCTCACAATCAAAGTAATTTTAGAAGACTTATATCAACACAGAATGGTAAATATCAGGGGAATTAAATGAAATTTGTTTGTTTCACTTTATCAATATCCTTCTTCGAGTAAAAAAACCAAATCCTTTCTTAAAAAACAGGAACGTGTTATGTTTTGGTTGTTAATCCAGTCACAACATGTAAAGTGATATATACGAAACAAAGAAAGTTTATGTATGCAATGTAAACATTTTGACTAAGAGGTTACAGGCTACGAAGTTGTAAGTTGAAGTATTGACTGAAGAAGTTTGAAGGAAGAGAACGAAACAAATCTATCAGTCACTACGTGTACCGATGAACTCAGATAAAATCAATGCAGAACCTCGCACACAGACGCATCAGTTCACCTTGCCACAGGTGGATAGAAAAAGACTTATATCAAAGTAGACAAAGCTGTGTCACAGAACAAATAATCTGAACGTAACGGTTAGTACAAGTACTCGAGATACAGGAGACCTCTAACAGTAAATACATTTGCATCACAGTGAACGATTTTCAGCCGTCACCAAGAGTCCTCTTTCACTGATGCCTAACGTCTCGTGGACGCCAGCCAGTTAATCTACATCTCCCATAGACAGTTCGAATCAACAGTCAGGAACCTCATCGACTACTGCAACGTCTTGATCTGACCACCCACTTTCATAATAATCCAACTTCCTCTAGCATGGCATATCGAGGAAGGTGTGAGTCGGGATGTGCAACACATATACAAGCTACCTCAGTCGATTAAGCTTCATAAATTCATCAATTGACTTGCCTGTCTCGCCTAGTAACCTTCGCCTAACCTCGACATTGATCTAACAGTGATTCCACCAAACGTGGGCAATGACATGAAGACACATGTGATCAAATCCCTTTAGTCCCTACATGTATTCTACTTTAAACGACCAAATCTCACAGCTGTATAACACAACCGGACGTACTGGAGCACACCATTCTTTTCCTTTAACAGCTACTCAGATATCTCGCCAGTCAGAGCCACAGATGATGAAAGCTGGTAAGTGCCAAACGGAACTTCATTATCTAAGCTGAGATTTCGTCAGCAACTAGCATATTTGGGGCCGATGTAACTCGCCAAGTAAGTGAAATGGTTCACACATTCCACCACTTCACTACCTATCATTAAACTGAGGGTAGTTGCAGACTAGTCCTGTAGCATCATCTTACATTTGAGAGGCGGCAGTGCAAAGCGTGCCAAACATACACAGATTTCTCCTCAAAGTTTTCAGAGGACCCTGTATTTTGTCAGCATCTTCATTCAATACGACAATATCATCTAGTATCTCTAAGTCAGGGAGTAGATCAATTCCAGTGAAGTCAAAAGTACTTATAAGGTTATGTTCATTAGTACGTCTATGGGGAAGTTAAACAGGAATGGTGACAATGATCATCTCTGGTGGACACCACTAACTGTCGTCGCTTCAGATGATAATTCTCCAGAATCCTTTACACTGATGAACTCGTTCAACAACAGCAATTATTACGAATATATAAGACAGAACACAAAGGGTGGGAGTCGATTTAAACGTTACGCCATACTGAGTTGCCGACAACACTTATTGAATAAGTAATCAAAGCACTAGTCTAAAAATTCAGAGGTATATTGATGCAAATGCTTGAAAAAATCAAGCGTCCAGTAAACTGTAGTATATCTATAGAATGACACAACTTAGCATGCAACCAGAAACGACTACCAATGAGAATACTATTATCTACATACATTAGAAGATATCTTAATTACCAACAAACTATTATTCAAAATTAGATGAGACAGATAAAACGATACTACCTGACTGCTTAGATCTAAATACACAAAACGCGAATCGAACTCATGGCCTGACATACAAGAGAAATGTGCAACAGTTGAAGCGCTATAGCTTTAATCACTAAAATTGCCTCAGACTTCACATTGTTATAAGGGTTTACAGAATCAGAGGAGAAAAACTAACAAAACAAAAAACTAAACTATATTACCGTTTGGATGTATAGTTTTTAAACAGATATTTACAATCCATCGTTCCCAAACAGATGCCTCTGGTCCTAACCAACCCCCTTTTCTGTGTACGACAAATTCAAGGTTAATTGCTCCACGGACATCACCATTTGTATTAGCTGAATAGCTATCACGGTGCAAAGCTTCGATAAACGCTGCAACTGCATTGGTCACTTTTTCAATAAGTTGACTAGAATTTATACACACCTTGTAAAATAAGCAAATAAAAGAAAAATAATCCATAAATGAAGTAGATTACTTATATTTACCTGTAAAATCTTACAATGAAATCATCCTTTCTGAGTAATTTATCATTATTATTATTAGTCCTTTGGGTTCCTAATGGAACATGGGGCTTCAGTAGCACATCTCCAGTGAACTCTGTTCTCTGAAATCTTTTGAACCTGGCCCCATGACAGCCCACAAGCTCTCATTTCCTCCTCGCACGCTCTCCTCCATGTCACCCTCACCTAGGACGCCCAACTCGTCGCTTCCCATGGGAGTCCCACTTGAGGGCCTGACGCGTGATGTCCCCAGTCGGCCTTCTCAGTGTATGCCCAATCCATCTCCACTTCCTTCCAGTGCATATTTGTTGCGTGATAGGTTCTTGGTTGGTTCGTTCCCAGAGTTCCTTGTTGCTTATTCTTTCTGGCCATCTCATCTTCAGTAGCGAGCGTAAGCTGTTGTTGATGAATGTCTGTAGTTTATTGGAAATCACTTTCGTAACGCGCCAAGCCTCTGAACCATACAAAAGCACTGACTTGACTGACAGTGGTGTTGAAAATCCGAATCTTGTTCCACATGCTGAGTGCAGAAGATCTCCACACTGGTTCCAGGCTAATGAACGCCTGTCTTGCTTTTCCGACTCTGACTTTGACATCCTCGTCTGTCCCACCTGTAGTTGAAACAGTGCTGCCTAGATAGGTGAAGGAGGTTACTTCCTTCAAGTTTCTCCCATTCATGGTGATTGGAGTTTGTTGTTGTTGTTGGAGTTGTTGGTGCGGTATCTTCATCACTTCTGTCTTCTCTATATTCACTTGAAGTCCCGTCTTCGCTGCCTCTTCTGACAACTTGTTAGTTTTCGCCTATACATTTTCAAGTTTGTGTGACATCAGACACAAGTCATCGGCAAAATCCAAATCTTCTAGGTTCTTTTCTGCAGTCCAGCGTATCCCCCTCTTATCACAGCTCCCCACAGTTTGTTGCATGATCCAGTCGACCACAATAAGGAATATCATGGGGGATAGTAGGCAACCTTGTTTCACTCCTGTCTTCACTTCAAAAGCATCACTGAGCTTCCCATTGTGAATTACTTGGCATGTGGCATCTTCATATAGTTGTTGAATGAGGCGGATAAAGGTTTGCGGTACTCCGTAGTAATGAAGCAGTTTCCAAATTACTTGTTGGTCGACGCTGTCAAAGGCCTTCTCAAAGTCGATAAAGTTGAGGTAGAGAGTTGACTGCCCTTCTACTCTCTGTTCTATGATGATACGAAGCGTTGTACTTCCTGAAGCCTCCCCTTTCCGGTCGTAGTTTTGAATCTAGTGCATCCTTAAGTCTCTCCAGGATGATACGGCTTAATATTTTACTTGGGGTGGAGAGTGATTCCGCGCCAGTTCTTGCAAACACTGAGGTCTCCCTTCTTTGGCAGTTTGACAAGGTAACCCTTCTTCCAGTTGCCAGGTGCCTTCTTTTCCTTCCACACCTTCTGCAATAGTAGTGTGAGCATGTCCACTGTTGTCTCTGCATCTACTCTCAGTGCTTCTGGCGGGATCCCATCTGGTCCTGCTGCTTTCCCGCATTTCAGTAGCTTTATGGCGCTCAGAACTCCCACTTTTGTTGGAGGATTTATGTTCACTTGTAGTTCAGCGGCTGCAGGTGGTATTTCTGGACGAAGTGCAGGTGGTGGTCGATTCAAGAGCTTCTTGAAGTGGTCGGCCAGCCTATTGTTTCCTCTGTTTCTCTTCTTTCGTAATTAAATTTCCTCTTTAATCTTTCATTGGTTTCGTCTGCGTTGATCTCTTATCTAGTTATTTGATACAATGTTGTCAGGTCTCTATCTCTCCTACCTGCAGCCTGTTCTGCTTCACTTGCCAGTGTTTCGTAGAAGTGCCTTTTGTCTTTCTGTGCACTCTTCTTCACTTCTTTGTCCAGTGCAGTGTTTTATACATTGGACTCAGTTCCTCTTGTCGTTGAGCTTCCTTGCACTGGTTTATCTTCTGCTTCACCATCCTCCTCTCCTCTATCAGCTTCCATGTATCCGTCGAGATCCATTCCTCGTCTTCTTTCTTCTTCCCTCCTAATACGGTTATGCAGGTTTCCTTTCCACATCTCTTTCAAAGAATTCCAGTGTTCTTCCACACAGGTTTCTTCAGAAATGCTGCTCGATATCTCCCATTTTGTCTTGATGGCTGACTGAAGTGAAGATTTCCTTTGTAGTTTCATCCTTCAGTTTCCGAGTGTTGTACTTGAACTGCGGTCTATCACCAACTTCCTTGAGGGCTTTCAACTTGATTTGGAAGGCAGGTTCCTTGCACTAGACAGTGAGTGGTGTGAACCTACATCTGCTCCTCTTCTTGACCTTGTGTCAAATAGGCTGACTGCGTCTTCACTTTCTTCACATTGAAATGAAGTCGATTTGATTTTTAGTGTGTCCATCTGGTGAAATCCATGTCGCTTTGTGGATATCCTTGTGCTTGAACACAGTGCCTGACTCCAATCACCAAATCATTGAATGCACAGAACTCTGCAAACAATTCTCCATTCTCGTTCATCACCTCACCGAGCACTTCTCGACCCATGGTTAGTTCTCTTCCTGTGTTGTCTGCTCCCAGTTTGGCATTCATGTCGCCCATTAGAATTATGATATCGCCAGCTAGGGTGGAGTCTTGTCCAGTGTTGATTGAAGTTGTCTGTAGAATTCCTCCTTTTTCTCTTCATCTGCATTATTTGTAGGTGCATAGTATTAGCATTGTATGATTGTGACCTTCCTTCCTTTTGAGTTGAACCTCGCTGTCATGATCCTGCATGAGGAGATTGGTTCCCACTGTATGAGGGCCTACGATGCTCTTGGGGACATCATGATAGCCACTCCAAAACTCAGTGTGCTCGTGGTTGTCATCTGGGTGACAATACCGGAATAGATTATTGATTCTCCAGTTGACAGTTTGGAGAGCCCACTTCCATTCCATCTTCTTTCGCAAATCCCAAGCACTTCGATGTGATACCTTCTCATCTCCTTTGCAATCTGGGCTGCCTTACTGGGTTCAAACATCGTACGGATATTCCATGTCCCCACGTTTACTTTCGCTTTCATCGAGGGAGAGGAGACATATCGGCCAATTGGCTTCCCGAAGGCAGGCTTTCACCAACTGGCGTCATTTCGCCTCTCCGATTCTAGCGAAGAATAATTTTGTTTTCATTTTTTATATTTTGTTTGTGCTTTGAAGTTTCGTTAGCGGTTAGATCTGTTTTACGGGGTGGGGTTGCTGGCCCTATGCCCAACCTTTCCTCTTTACCCGGGCTTAGGACCGGCTAGTAACTAGTGAACTAGTTAACCAGGCGAGGTTTTCTGAGTAACAGATAAACACAATAGTTCTCAAATCAAACTAAACTAACTTGTTGTTTTGAAAACACAGTTTTTAATCATTATATTTACCACTTTTGTTTGGAATAAAATTACTTGTAAAAAAAGGCGTACTTCATGCAAACAAGATAAGAAAGGACAATTAAAAGTTGTGTTTGAACATATTTACCAATTCACTACTCAAAGAGAACGAATCCTTCAAACCGAGAAATGAAGTAGGACCCATTGACAGGGGTTTATGACACTAACAAATTCAGTGACAGTACACTTAGATGCATGACATAGTGTTCTGGTATGTATCAACTTCCCGCACGCTTCTGGTAGTACACAAGACCCAATCAAACATAACCTATCGTCCATAACTATATCTCCTTTGCCTTCATCTTCTGATACTAATATTAAGCTCTTTGCAAATTCTTCAACCTCCAACTTAGCAACCAGTGCCAAAGACTCAAGTCATAAAAACCTCGTTCTTAGTCTCCTAAGACCCTACCATCAATTGCATGAAGGAGCTTCAACGTCCGAACCCTATGCCAAACCGGACAGCAAGTATAACTCACTAGAGTTCTAAAATCTTGAGCCATGGATGTATGGTGTGTCTGGGACATATAAAGAAGACCCAAGTGTGGTTACTGAACTGACCTCACCTGGCCATAGTAGTGAATCTTCCAAAATTCACCATATCAGTACCCGCAGACCCAATGACTAGGTCTCATGGAGGCATCGGTTTAGGCATACCATTGAGCTGTAGGGTAGACAGTGAGCTTCACGACAGGAAACCAGTCAACAACCGTCTATGTTCTGTTAGACTGAATAGATCTGTAAGAACTAGGAAGGATCATGAAACTAAGCGATGCCTACTCGCAGTCCCCACCTGCGCACCCACAGACTGCAGTTCAGATGATGCGAAGGATAAATTCTATGGAAGGCTGTCAACCTCTTTAGGAAAGGAAAAAATTCAGATGTAATCACAGCAATTTACTTTAACGCTAAAGTAGAGAAGCTGAATCAGTCGGAAAGCCATCTGGGTAGTATCTACGCAATCCCATGCCAACGAACTAACAACGATGATGTGATAAATACTTGTTTCTGGACAGTGCTAACTTCAGACATAAGGAGAGACATTGTCTCATGGCGTCCGCCGACATCAAACCAACGATGGACAATAGATAGATCATATTGCTCTAAGCCATCGTTGGACGACTACTACTCTTCCTGGAGAACTAGTTTGGATAACTATCACGCGCTAGTACATGCTCGTGTATATCCGTGCCTTACTAGTAGCAGAAAACAGGCGATACTAGAGCCTGTCTATGGTCGATCGTAAGATGAAGAAATCAAGTATGTATTTAGAGAAGAGTTAGTCAAGAATTCATTCGAACGTGACAGCAATGCCCATCCTGAGGAAACCTGGCGTGATACAAAGTCTGCTGAAGAGACAGCGGTACAAACAGTTGGTAACCTACATACAAGAGGTAGAAAACATTATGGGATTTCAACAACGTCCACGACGTCATCCAAACTGATGGGTACGAGAAGACACATTGACCACAATGAGGAGCGAAAGCAGCTGAAGCGTTAAATGACTAAGAATTTTTCAAATGGTCGCCAGCGGTGGTGG